ATACATAAGGATACTGGTATTAAAAGCATTAATAATGTACGTGTTAATGATATGTGATATCAGTGTAAATGGTTAGCTTTCATGACATAATTCTGAGAGTATTAACGATACAGAAAATATAAGATAATGACTATACATTTTTGAAATGCTAGTTGTTGAACTCAAAAGCGTCAAGCATATGTCTTTATCTTTGCTGTGGCAATATTTTGTTACTACTGCTTCTGACAAAATATTAAATAGAAAACAAATGTGATTGAACTTTCCATGTTTGCATTCAAAGGTACCAAGCGACAATAATAAAGCGCCCCGAGGCAAGCCGGTCCACTGAGGACGCGCCGCGCCTCGTACCTGCAAGCAAGGGCGTGGCGGTGACGTCGAGGGCCAGGAAGAAGCCGAAGAGCACGTGCAGGAACGAGCGGGAGGCGGGCGAAGAGTTGGGCAGACTACCGACGGCGAGGCTGACGAGGCGGGCGGTGGGCAGCTCGGCGCCGTCGCTGGCGGTGGGCAGGCTCGAGATGCCTGCGGGAGGAGGCTTGGTTTGGAGGGCCATTGGAGGGGCGAGCACGCGCGTGAATGTATTGTGGGAATTTTTTTTTATATATGTGTGAACATTAATATACAGAGATATAAGTACACACACACACAACACACACACACGTATTATATATACACGCACACAAACACACAGATACACATACACATTATATATGCATACAACACACACACACACACACACACACACACACACACACACACACACACACAACATATATATATATTATATATAATATATATTATATATATATATATATATATATATATGTATATATGTATGTGTGTGTGGTGTGTGTGTGTGTGTGTGTGTGTGTGTGTGTGTGTGTGTGTGTGTGTGTGTGTGTGTGTGTGTGTTGTGTTTGTTACGTGTGCAGGTACATGGACTTGTGCGTGTTTGTACATTTGTGCATATATTGCTTTAAAATACAAGAAATAATCCCCGAACTCGTTTCCCGTATTGTATTAAAGTTAAAGTAGGCCTACCCACCGTCACCATAGTTGTGACCTGCCAGGCGTCGGTAGGGCTCGTAAGCGGCGCCCCAGGTCGGGTTCCGCAGGTTGTTGCAGGTGCCATCGATGGACCGGAAGTGCAGGAATGCGTTGCAACGGGAAGGGTATATAACCTCTGTGTTGCAAAAATTGCATGCTTTAATTTTATCTTTACTCTTAGATCTTCCAAGCTCCTGTCTGATATTATCATTCCTTTTCAAATAACGCTTCTTTATCATATGAATTCCCACTGAACCCATCACTCATAAGGTTATCACTTGCACCCAAATTACAATGAAGGGAAGGGAACTATTGTATCAACCACAGACCTCCATGTCCCTCCGAATTTGCCTCTACGATGGGGGTCAGTAGAGCGGCCAAGGCAGCCGCCACAAAGATCAGGGAAGTCTTCTGCATTTTCCTGCGATGAAATCGGATATATAATTGGAAAAAATAATGATCATAATCATGATAGCAGTGATGACAATGACAATAATAACAGTGAAAGGGATGCTGATAAAAAAGGATGTAAAGAAATATAATAGTAATGCCGATGATACTACTACTACTACTTCTAAAATGAAAAAACAATAATGATAATGACAATAATATTTATAAACATAATAAACAACGGTAACAACAACAAAAAGAAAAATGATGGTAGTGATGGTAGTAATAACTAACAAGGGTAATCGCAATGATATGAATAATATATTGACATATGAAAATAGTTTTCACTTTGCAGCGAAGCAAAGTCAAATATGAGTTGTTGAAAAGCCCGACTATGTGTATCTGGCATGTTATTCACACGAGTGATTGATAAGGAACTTTAGATCTTCCTTTGTGTCCATTTTTTTTTTTTTTTTTTAATATTACCATCTGAGGATATCTAACGGATACGTCTGCAGAGACATTTGATATAGCTACATACTCAAACAACTGAGTTTATTTGTGTTCATTGTACTTTATATGTTGAAAATGTGCAGCTTAATAAGCCTTAGTTCTTTCAGAGTCTTAATGTTGTGTCGTAGTAAGAGGCTTTCAACTTACTGAGATGTGTTGCTCTAACGATGTCAACTGGTTTCATCTCGTCTGCCCGGCCTGTATATATTCCCCAGAGGTCTGACCTTGAACATGCGAGTCAGTTAAAAAAAAAAAAAAAAAAAAAAAAAAAAAAAAATACATAAAAAAATAAAACAGCTCATATGTTCGTTTTCGCAACGCTACCTACCTGGCACATGTTTTATGTTTTTTTGAAGGACAACATTGACTCATTATTAAACTAACTGAATAAGAAAAAGACGCATAACTGACACGTATGCAAAGACATGTAGGTTGCAATTTACAAGATTTATCTTTCTAACTCTCCATCTATTTATTCATACACACACACCAACACACATCTCTCTCTCTCTCTCTCTCTCTCTCTCTCTCTCTCTCTCTCTCTCTCTCTCTC